GAGAGGGAGGAGAGAACAGGGGAGATGCAAGGACTAGAAGACACCATCCATACTTCAGCCTCAATATAAAATAAAAAGATCAGACCCATTTTGCTCCCACTATATTACTGTTGCCTGTGCAGTATGTTCTATTCAGCCTATCCGGCTTTGAGTTATGACTCATCCAAGTGCACCTGCGCCCATGTGTTAAGTATTGCCAAATAAAAGCCCAACATCCATTTACACAACAAAGAGATGTACCCCGCAAGGCAGCGGAGCTTCCCCCTCCCCTCCTGTTTGTTCTGAGCAGGGGAAAAAATAATTCTGTCCTTCACTTCACTGGGGATTTTTCACTTCACGTGGATTTTTAAATGCAGACTCATTTATAAACAATTTTCTTCCTTTTAAGAATAAAGCATATTTAATACCACAAAACACCCCTATAGCATTAGATTATCACAGCCATTAATGATTTTTCCACCAAAACCCTTCCAACCTTTTTCATCAAAGCCCTTTATTCTCGAAGGATAAATTTTCAAGCAAAGAGGGATCAACAAACTAGTTGCTTGAAAGCTTTCCTGATGCTAGGCTGAAGTTAGGAAAGGCTTAATGAAGGCTTTAAAATCCACCAGGGCTTCACAATGAACATCTGACTCGGTGATTTATGCATATTAATAACCTCAGTCCTACTGAGGCAAGCTGAGCTGTACATGTCCTCCGAATCTTAATGTCTTCAGCTCCACTGGGATTATTACAAATGTAAATTTCTAAGATTCTCAGCTATTAATCTCTGTCTGTCCTCCTGTTCAGCAACATAATGACTAATTAAACATCAAAAGACCTGTACAGGAGATCTTCTTTGACAGCTCCTGGCCCAGCTCTCTTCCCAAGAGAGGAATTCAAATGACAGGGACAAGTGGGTAGGAGCATATAAGCAAGCTACAAATCACTGCTATGAAATCTAAAAATTCCACATCAAATGTGTATTTAGTCCTCCAGAACCACTCCCAATTACCTAGCCTAGCTGTTCATGTCCAGCAGATAGCCTTCCTAATGCTAAAGTTAAGTAATTTGTATGTTTGTCAGGTAAAGAGAGCGCAATTTGAACCCGATTTGTTTTACTATAAGTAAAAAATGTAGTACTTACAGAAGAAGGCAAACCAGGGGGCACCTTTCTTACTTTCTTTGTCTGTAGAGGATCTGTACACAGAAAAACAACGTTTCATCAAGTGTCTACATTACAGATGAAAAAGAAAAAATAGCTACGCTATACAGTTTTTTCTTTCCACAATGGATTTCTTATTTTCCAATTTCATGCATTTTTTATTCTGTGCCAATGAAATTTGTCTATCACATCAATATGAATGTGCTTATATATGTAACATACCATGTTCTTCTCTAAAATAAAGCCTTGCTAAATAATTACTTTCAATGCTTCCCAGAAGGAAAGCAGTTATTCCTAAGAACACTAACACTGAAGGCACACTGATGTCCTTATACACTTGCTAAGAAACAAAGTAAGATTTTGAGATATATAAGGAGGAAAATGGGACTGAGTAGCGAGAGAAATTATTTCCCTTTCTGCACTTCAGAGTAAAGACAGAACTATCAAAAAGGAATTTATGACATGTTAAAGTATGATTAATACTCTAAAATACCTAACACGATGTAAATTTCTATAGCTTTTAGACTATACCAAGGTTGTAAATAAACAGCAAATCTAATGACCTAATTACTTTTCTTAAGTAATAAAGGCAACATAACTCAAATTTGCATGTAATAGAAAAGTTGGAAGTATGATACCTGCTTCCTTCTACAAGTAATTATTGTAACATCACAGAAGTACCCAGCAATTTCACTACCTAAATCGAGAATCTGAACTGTATGCATGCAAATTAGAAGTTAACTGATGTTCTGAAAATGAGTATCTGGCAAGATTACCAGTTCTACAGTTGACCGATTGAGTCTTCAATTAAAATACAAAATTCCTATTTTTTCTATTTTCATTCAGAACATTTAATCACAATTTTATTATACGATATGACAAGTTAAAGGTGAGATAAGGTGAGAATATCTGCTGAGTATCTTTACTCTGATCGTTCCCCACAGGACATGTTCGAAAAGAAAATAAAAGGACTTCTGGAAGAGATATTTACACTGCACTCAAAGCGTCACCTGGAACGGAGCACTGGTTGGTTTCAATGAACTTCAGTAGCAAATTTAAAGTCCTGGTCAGGCAACTCCTTCTCGGGGATAAAATGGCCATAATTCGACCGTGCTTTAAATTCTCAGGCAGCAGTTTTGTAACATTTAACTAGTCCATTAAAAAACCCCAAATATTTCAGACATACTTTCTCAAGCAATCAGGAACAAGACTCAAGATAAAAGTGCACTTCCTTTTCCTGGCATTTCTGGAAAAACATTTCCATAGATTTGTAACCACCACCTGCCATGTCCTGGGTTACAGTCCCCCAGATTCAGCCATGACATAAAGAGGAATATCACGCTGTTACCAGTTTGAACAGGTTTATACCCCTTGAGCTTCTCTTTCAAAGAAAAAAATAAATAGGAGTACTACTCTGAAAACACCACACTTCGCTTCATTTTGTTTAATTTAATAATATCTGGAACTTACCAAACTCTATATAGTTCGCACAAGAAACTAACTTAATCACATATTCAAGTATATAATAGAAATCAGACAATCTCGTTTAGGACTCTCCTTCAACGGCTCCTTCATACCGTAACCTTTCTGCCCCCGTCAGTATCACGCTCTGTTCAGCATCCAAAGTCACACCCCCCCTGTTACTCAGAACCATAGCAGGTTACTATTATAGGAGTTTCTCACTAACACCGATTCAATGGGGGCTAAAACTTAAAAATAACAATAACAACAATAATTTAAAAACCCAACTCTTTTCTATTAAAGTTCAAACACCCTTCCAAGCGGCAAACAATTTCACTGAACTTTTCTCAGACTGTTCCTCTTCTGCAACAGATCTGAAGAACTGCTGCGTTTGATTCTCATATTCTGAGGAAGATGAGTATTTACAAAAATATTTGTAAAGAAAGACAACTCCAGATTAAATGGCAGTTGTCTTGACAACAGGTAGAAAGTTACAAAAAAAAAAAGTATTTTAAAATACACACATACATATACACACACACATATACATAGGTAAAGTTCCAAAGTCATATTTTTATAATTAAAGATTTAAAAAACAATTTCAAGCATGTTCAGGACTACTTTAATGCCCAAGGAGTTTGCAGTTCTAGTTAATACTAAAGTTACTTCAAGAAACAATTTGCATGTGATGAAATCTTACTCGGGGTAAAGTATGGTTTAAGTTATATGGTTCCAACAAACAAGATTTTATTATGGAATAGAAGTGCTATCCAGAATGAGGGGCATTAAAAAACCAAACATATAACTAGAGTAATCCTAATGACATAACGTGCTAACATTGAAATATGGTAGCTTTCAAACTAGAATATCAGGTTACAGTCTCTCTTTTTATGCCAAAAAGAATTTTTTAAAACTTGCACATCCATTTATTCGCGATAGTCTTATAGTAGAAACGATAGAACAACTGGCTCATTCTTGATTCCCTAATTCAATAGAAAGTCTTTAGAGCTCTGAAAGTCTTTAGATTATGACCGACTAGGAAAATTCCATTTATCTCTAGTATCTCCAGAACAAAATATTAATACTGTCATAGGATTATAACAATTTTTAAGCAAGTTCCTGCCTGCATATTTTGCAAGGTAGTTTGATTTTAGGATAAACTACTAGTCTCCAATTGCTAAGAACTTTAAAGGCATGTTGAACCAATTACAATGAACTATATATTGCCCTGAATAAAGTTACTTTTAGCATATAAAAGGATAATTGTTTCCCCTTTCTGTCTTTCCCCTACTAAATAATGGTAATGACCTCAAGGTCAGGCATTTCCAGGAGTTAATGATGGTATGGGTTAAGGGCACTCAGCTGGTCATCAGCTCCTATCCATCTGTCATTATTGCTTTTGCAATTAAGGGTTTTATTGGAGTTTCTTGTTTGTTTTATAAGCAATACTGACCAGCATTGAATCCAAACTAGCATCTCAAAGAATATGTTAATAATTCCGGTTTATGTCTTACATAGCAGTTTGCTATAATTTGAATTGCTCAGTACAGAGCAATCTCCAGTATATATAATGAACTGTCAAAGAAATTAATAAAGTCTGCAGAAATGCATCATGAACAAAAGTTTTAAAACTGTCTATATTACTCACCAAGAGCTGGTGAGTCATGAAGTGGTCTTCGGCGTTGATTTGTGCCAGAAAATGGGTAGTAGGGTGTTCCAGGTTTTCCTGAGGATGACAGCTGACCTGGACTTCCAAGTCCCATATCTGACCGAAGCAGGCTAGACTACAAAATACACAGAGAAAAGTAAAATTAAGCTCTATAATAACTCAGCTGTTAATGTACCAGGCTAACAAACTATTAACCACACATACTGCTCTTAGCATTTATAGGAATTTACTGGGCTTTCAGTGAAGGTCTTAGAGTTCAAAAAAATTTTGACTTTTTAAAATTAGTATGCAGAGAATATACTACAGCATAATTCAGAAAGGCAGTGCAAGTTTGGCTGTGAGCCTCTGAAAAAACATTTCAGTTTAAAACATCTGAAAGAATCAGTTCATACTTAAATTATAAACAAAAATCATAATACTTTGTTTACTTTGCAATATAACACCTCTTCTATTACATAATATAAACATAATTGATAAAAACTGCTAAGAGTTTATAGTGTGACATTAGGTTTTAGCACATACTTAGAAATCCAGACTTACACTACATTCATAAAAACATGGAATAATTGTCCAAAAAAATAAAACGTAGACAAAAGAGATAACATATTAGATTAATGTACAGAACATAAAAAATTATGACATTTTAAAAACTTCAAATCAACAATGTAGTTGAACCCTACCCTTTTTGTTCTCTTTTCACGCAGTAAATACAAAAACATTCTAAACACTTAACAAGTGCATTATATATTGGTAGGCCTCACGTTATTTGGATTTCTTCTGTGAAACTGAAATGAATGTTGGTGATTTATGAGAACATAGTTTTTCCATGGTTGATACTATGCTTAGCCTTGTTTTAGTCTGAAAATCCCCAGACTTGGAGTGAAACCCACAGAACTGTTTGCACAGAAAACAATGCTACCAGGCAGTAAAAATGCATTCACCGCTGCTTCACTCCTGGCTGCTACACACAGCTTTCCTCATACAGCAGCATCCATTCTGTGTTACATGTAGCTAAAGACACTTTGCTTTTAATATCTGCAAAATCAGACAGTGTTTTAAGGTCACCATGGAACCAGCAGCCTTCAGAAACAAGTGATCCGATTTCTTCATATTTGGTCATATGTAGTGCAGTCTTCCTGTCATGAAGGGTGTAAAGCACAGCTGTCAGATGGCAGGACAGTTATGTTTTGCCTACATTCAAACTGCGCTAACATTTAAATGTCAGATGATGCTAAGACAGAAACTGCTGCCTGGATTAACTTTTATACCAAAACAAACTTGAGGTGCCACCTAGTTAAAGTGTCTCCTTCAGCCCCACTGCTCCCAAGCCAATGTTCCCCCTCCCCTCAAACCGCTCTCAATGATGAAGGCCACGCGCACCCGCAGGTTCCAGAGGTTGTCAAACAAGCACGCTTGCAGACTGGATCACGGCCGGAACCGCTCCAGCACTGCTGCCTTCTAGAATATGTGCAGAGGCGTTGCTCTGGCTCTCTTCACATTTCTTTCTCAGTCCTGAATACCCTCTTTCATAAACAAATGTGTTTTTTTGATTACATGGTATCAGTCAAGCTGGTTCTTTTGGTGTGATGACTTGTGAAAGGTGAGGCTAACTCACATGGCTCTCAGTACGGTACTAAATCCGTTTTCACTTGCAATGCACTGGGATTAGCAGAAAATCCAGAGTTCATACAAAATGACAGACTATATATAAAAAAAAGCAAAAACCTCAAGTGCGTTTTTCCAGATAAATGGTTTGGCATATCACTACTGAAATTTCTATCTTTTACTTGTCTGATGACTAATTTGAGCAAGAAAATCTTGTATTTTCATTGAAAAGACCGGGATGTGAAAGAGTCACTCTTACAAACTAAAGGAAGGCCCAGAAGTGTTAACTATTTCTTACAAATCTATCACACAGTTTGAAGAACAAAGTTAATAATGATTAAAAATGTTAAGGCATAAAAGTAAAGTTTCCCCTCAACTCAATTTCTTCATTTTTATTCTTACAATAAAATAGTCTTTAAATCAGAATTGTTAATATGAAACTCATATTGAAATGAGATACCCTTATAAGGAGTGAGGTCATCTTTCAACAAAGTATATAGAAAAGACGGGCCGGGCGGGGAATCTGCTTGTAGACTCTTTCAAGATCTGCTAATTTTGCCTTTGTCAAACAGTTAAGAGTTTATTGTTTTGCAGAAAACATTATGATTATCAGAATATCTGGCTTACATAGTGTAAGTCTGAATTTAGCAAAGATGCTATTCTAAACTTTTATTAGAGTTTTAGTGGTGAACACTGTGCAGAAACCCGGGCGATGTTTTGTGAAAAGCAGTGCCTCCAAACCAACACTGTCCAAAAGAAAAAATGAAACCAGTTCCGCACTTAGCCCAAGACTTGACCTTCAGCCCGAGAATACCCACGACTGAAGGAAAACTTCTTTACATAGCCTGGGGGGAAGGGGAGGAAGTATTGTGATAGTTGTCATTTCAAGTAGCTGAAGCAAGGTCCCACTCACAGAATCCCAGAACCGCTGAGGCTGGCAGGGACCTCTGGAGGTCGGCTAGTCCAGCCCCTGCTTGCTCAGAGCAGCTGTCAAACACAATTAGGAACTACGTCCCATTCACGTTAAAGACAACCCTCCCCACCCCCCCCAGCATCTCCTTCTGATCATTGGCAGTGATTTTGGAAATGCAATGGGATCCATACAGACGTCCCCAAAAAAAGGGGTGGGAGGGTTCTTAGTTCCTCTGTTTCTCTCTTCATTAAGGGGGAGGGGCGGGAGATGGGAAAACAACAACAACAAAAAACAAACAAACAAAAAACACAAAAAACCCCCCAACCCATTAAAACCTCTTAAATTCACTTCTACCAAGCCATTCCAAAAGGCATGTATCTATATCTTTTCCAGACTTAACCTCCAACCTTTACCTAATGACATTTGCCACCCTTGCTTTTGTCCTAAGCATTCCAGTTCTTGACATTTTCATCGGACCCTGAATTTCAAAGCAGCATGGCTACTACAACAACATAAAGTATAAGTAATATAATACATACCCAGTAAATCTCAAGCTATGCAACACACGCTAAAGAACTTTTCTGATCTATATTGTGTTTGGGTAAGAATTTTTTATTAAAAAAAAAAAAGGCAGGAAGAAAAAAACCCGAAAAAACACAACCCTCTTCTACCATTCCCTCAATCAAATGAAGCATCTGTTTAAAATTTTATAATTGTTCCTCAGTCTTCCAAAATAAAATAAAAATAGATGTCATTAGTTCAGCTTATTGATTTTTCTGCCTGTCTGAACCAATTGAGAAGCAATATTGATTAGGACTGATCCTTTCCTAAGGGCATCTGATAAAGAAAGGAATACAAAAATACCACTGAGGATAGCAAAAAAGCTTTGTATTATCAGCACCAAGCTTCTCCTGCCTAAGTGCCCGAGGTCCCTGCACAGAGGCAGATCACTTACATACATAGTTTGCAGCATTCTCCACAGAGAACATTCACGCTCACTCCGAACCTCATCTGCCAAGCATGGATCCAATTACTAAAGAATAATCAATGACTGGTTATTCTCCTGAACGCTGCCGAGTCCTGTCTGCATTACCATTATAAATAAACAGGCATCACCCTTAAAAAGTTGCTTCTTTGGATTTTATAAGGCAAGCTTCCAGCTTCAAAATAAACAAGAATTTATTTAAAGCGGTATTTTACCTAAGGAATGTGTGTTCAATAACCAACCTAAAAAAAAAAGAAAGAAAAGAAAACAAAATATAAAAAGCTTTTATTACAATCAACTAAGAACACGGCAAGCCTGATTCCAAAGAGAACCGAGAAAAAGAGGTAAACATGACTGCTTTACTTTTCAAATCTATCACTTTCAGCAAAACCAAGAAACAGTTTTGACAGCCTCAGGGGAAATGGCATGGCCTGACCCCAAAAATAAAGGCTTTTCCAAGGGCCACTATCTAGACAAATGCTTTAAAGGGGTCTTTTTCCTAAAAAGTATTCTCATAAAAATGAAATGCAGGGGAATCATCTATTCAACATTGCAAGGGTGAGGTGGGGAGAAAAGAATCATATCTACATATGGGGCTGTGTGTATTTATGCACCTTTGTCACAGAAAACAAGTCACTTTGTATTGCAGCTGCACTTACGTGCACGCAAAGTTAGCTTCCATTCTAACAAGCTAATCAACCATATGCTTCTACCAAAATGGTATGCCCGAGATAAAAAAAGCTCCTTACTCAACATATATTAAAATGATTTTTAAATTGATTCTTTCAAAGAATTTGAGCATAAAAGTAAGAAAGTGTTTGACTACTTTGGAAGTTTTCTTTTCCCCAGCCCAACTCTATGAATCTTTAGAATCCCAAAGATACAATTTGATGCCAAAATACTGCTCTGCCTTCAATGAACTTCTAGGACACTGGCCAGCAGAATTCTAATAAGTTGGTAAACACTTCTTTGATTTTCTTACTTTGATATAAAAAAAGAAATGTGGACAAGTAAAGGCCTACAGATGTCCTTATGTAATATTCCTTGCAGCTCTCAAACATTTAGGCTATACGTAGATAGGAAAGCCAAGTTATCCTGCAAAATACACGAACGTTTTTAACAAACACACTCCATACACTACACCATCACATATAAGGTTTTACCTTTTCAAAAATGTATTTGTTATAGGCAGTTAGCCTTGTGCTTCTTGGTCTAAATCTCATTCATGTTCATTTTTTAAATGCAAACGTATTAGCAAACAGTTTAAGAACTCAGTTTTTCCTAGTGTAGCCATAGCCAAACTATGCAATAGTTCCATCCAAATACAACTGTGTGCCTTTACATTATTCATTATTTTCTATGAAAAGAATAATATGGTTGAGAATAAAAGCATTAGCCCATTATATACAACTGATTATGACAGGGCCATTGTGCTGGCATAATAAGGCAGGCTGCTTTGGCAGTGAAATGAGAGCTGCAACTTACCAACTGCAAACTTAGATCTTGAAACCACCCCCCCCCAATTAACTAGTCAACTAGATTTTATTTTTCCTAGTTTTTTTGCATTAGCTTCCTTTTCAAAAAGTTTATGCTCTGAGTCCCAGTAGTCAGG